CTGTGTCCCCACAGGCCTCAGCCATTCCCAGAGGCCTTCGGCGTCTGCCTGGAGATGTGGCCTTGGAGGTCCACCTGGCCGCCCTCTTCCCGCTCTGAGTATGCGTCTCCCTTCCCCTTTTCCTGGCACCAGCCTCACCTCTTTCCGTTTTGTGTGAGGGCCAGGTCTGAATGGGGCTCCCCCACCCTGGAGCGTTTGAAATCCACCCTCCTTGGCCCTTTACTGTACTGCTGGGCTGTGTGTTGTCTTAGAGCAGGATGTGGGGGCGGGCAGGTGGGGTGGCCAGGGGGGTGCAGGCCCCTTCCTCCCCAGGGGAGAACAATAAGGACGCTAGTCAGGGTGGTGGAGTGGAGGGAGTGGGTGGAGGCGGGGCATGGAGCTACATCAGAGCCTCTGCTGTGCGGCCCCTGGAGGGACAGCTGAGTGATGAGGCCTGAGTCACATGCCCCGCATGCTCCTTGAACTCCCGCCCCGCGCCTGTGGAGACACGTTCTGAAATGCGCAGGGTAAATATTTAGAGGTAATCGGGGTTTTCTTTTCTCGGCACCTAGGGCCTCCCTGCCTTGCTGAGGATAAAGCCAGGCCGGGGACTCCAAGGGGCACAGCCCCATCAGGTCCAGGTTCTGCTGTGGTCTTCCTTCAGCTGCGGCTTCCCATGGGCAGCACTGTGCTTTTTGTTGCTGTCCACCTGGCTCCAAATTTCATGCTTCAGCCAGAACCCAAGACTAACAGCAGCAACCACAACGGTTGCCATCCGATAGCTTCCAACTCACGGTTGTGCCGTGGTGCTGATAGGATTTCAAAGGCTGTGACCTTTCAGAACAGATCGCCAGGCATTTCTTCTGAGGCACCTCTGAGTCAGGTCAAACTATCCTCCTTGTGGTTTAGGTTTGTCTCAACCAGGGATGCTAAACCCCGGGCTAACACCAAACCAAACTGAATGCTATTAGCCATATTCCATCTCTGAAGACCCTGTGTCCTGCAGAGTACGACTGCATTCCCTTGGAAATTGATTGCCAGGCCTCTCTTCTGATGCACTGCAGGATTTGGTTGACTCACTAACCTTTTTGTTAGTAGTTGAGTAGTTAACTGTATCACCCAGAATCGTCTAAATCCAAGGTCAAGGGAGTGTAAAATTACTCCGAGAACCAAAGTTTGGCTTAAAATTGATCCTTGAAAACAACCTAAGTACCTATCAACAAATGAATGGATAGAGAAGCTGTGGTATATTCACACAATGGAATACTACGCTGCATTGAAAAACAAGGAACTCATGCAATATTATTCAAAATGGGTGACCCTGGAGGACATTATGCTGCATGAAATATCTCAGTCACAAAAGGACAAATACTGCATAGTGCCATTGTAGAATGAGACTAACATCAGGGTGGGGGTAAGACTGAGAATAACTGGATAAATTACGTGTACTGCATTGAAACAGATGAGGGAAAAAACTGTTTAAAAGGGATATGTTATTAGGTATTTTTGTCATGAGAGGAGTCCAGAGTAAAGGCTACATGGTGGAGTGGACTTGGGGGAGGGATTGTAAAACAATGAAAGAATTTTTCATTTACTTTTCCAAGAGGGTAGTGTACTAGGGGGGAGGGTTGGGAGGGGAGGAAAGTGCAACAATGAATGGATGGAAATCCAAAGTCTCTGTAAATTTTCATTGAAATTAATAAATTTTAAAAAACCAAAAAAAGTTGATTGTTGAACTTTCTTGGTTCTCTCTTGGTTCCATCTTAATCTGTGACCACCTCACCAGAGGCACCTTCTGCTTAGCTGATTCTTGGACAAGGCTTCTAGATGGCCCTGTGTTTCCACACGAGAGAGAACAGCAGACAAGAACTAGCCCCATCCTCCTCATACCAGTTCCTTGGCTCGACCCTGCTCAGAATGTGTTCCTTCCTTCAAGGACATGGAGTCCGGAGCCTGAATCTTATCAAAGATAAAAACATTTGAGACTAAACAGTCTTTTTATAGATTAGAACTGGGCTCCAGAGCACATGCTTTCAGTCCACCCGAGCCTGCCTTTTAAAGCACACACGAAAAGCATGTGTGAGGGAAGATGGAGACACTGAGGATGGAGGACAAAAGTGCATTTCTAGGGAAGGGGCAAAGTGGCAGGCAGGGGTCATGCCCAGTGATGTGGTCGTCTGGTCTCAGTGCTCTTCCGCATACCCCAGGGAGGATGCTGGCAGAAGCAGGGAACCATCCTAGTCAGGGATTGGAAATAGGAAATTAGGCACACTCAGATTCAGCCAGACATCTGCCACTCATCAGGCACCAAGAGAGCCTTTGATGCTAACATAGCTGGGATCCAGAAAGAAAGGTACAAATCCTCCGTCCCCACCTCCAGGCTTGTAGGGCTGGGACACTTTCCTACATGACACTAAGGGAGAGGTGGGTGGAAGGAAAGCTCATATCTGCTTTGCATGTACTCTTTATTAAAGAAGCTCTGGTGGCTTAGTGGTAAGGAGATGTGCTGCCAACCCAAAGGCATGCAGTTGAAATCCACCAGTTCAAATCCACCAACTGCTCCGCAGGAGAAAGATGGACAACCTCGTTCTGTGCGATTTAAAACCTCTGTACCTCTGAAAACCTGCTGGAGGATCAGTTACGAATTGGTAGTTGATTCAGCACCACATGACAACAGCATAATCATGAAGCTCAAGTGTCAGCATTGTTGTCGTCGTTGTGTGCCATTTAGCTGAGTCTCACTAGTAGTGAAGCGATAGTTCCAACAGCCCTTGAGCTGGGTGTTAACTAGGCCCTTGAGCTGGGTGTTAACTAGTCTGTGTTTTTGAGAGGTGGGTGGGAGGGCAAAAGGACATTTGGGAGCCATATGCAGGCTTGCCTTCATTGATAGTCCTTTGCTTTATTGCACTTTGCAGATTTTTTTTTAAATTGAAGGTTTGTGCTAGCCTCGCTTCATGTCGTCCACAGGTATCGTTTTGCCAACAGCATATGCTGTTGAGTCTCTGTGTCACACTTGGGTCCTTCTCTCTCTATTCCAAACATTCTCATCATGCTATTGCACATTTACTAGAGTACAGTGTAAATATCGTTTTTCTTTTTATCTATATCCTGGGAAGCCAATAGTATTTGTGTGACTCACTTCTTTGCAATATTTGTTTTATTGTGGTGGTGGGAACTGAACCCACAATATCTCCCAGATGCACCTGTAGAGAACCCAACATCTAATACATTATGCTGGAGAGGTTGCCCTCAGGGTCTTTTGACTCCTGAGCTCAACCTCTTTCCTCTGTTGTTTTACTGAAAGCAAAGAGGAGAAGACAATTGGCCCTTCCTTGGGGCTGTTGTAAGAGAGAATCAGGTGGAATTATTTAGGTAGAGCTTCACCAGTGTCTGGCACAGCCGCCAGTAAATGTGTCAGCTGCATTTACCGTGACTGCTTTGTGCTCAGGGCATCTTAGAGGACAGTGGCCCTGGAACCACTCACAGTCTCCTAGATAAGAGGGAGAGGTGGATGAGCTGGGCTGGGAAGTCAAGGAGGGATCCGGATCTTCCATTGCCTCTATTCAGGTCACTCGGCATCTTCTGTGATTGTGTTCAGAAGCCCAAAGCCTCTAGTTTGAGGGAAGATGTTGTTAGTGGCTGTTGAATTGGTTCTAACTCATGATGAGCCCTCACACAAACTTAGTGAAACAGTCCCCAGCCCTGCTCCATCTTCAAGATTGTTGAAGTGCTCAAGTCCTTCCTTGTGGCCACTGTGGTGGATAATATTGTCGTGACCTGCAGCATGTTCACGGACTAATTTTTGGACGTAGACCACCAGGTCTTTCTTCCTAGTCTCTTTTTCATCTGGAAGTTCTGCTGTACCCTGTCCACTGTGGGTAACTCTGCTTGTATTTGAAGTACTGGTGGCATGTTGTTGTTATGTGTCGTCGAGTCGCCTCTGACTCATAGCAACCCTATGTGCAACAGCCCTAAAACATACTCTATCCTGTGCCCATCTTATTGTCTCCTACACACCACTCTCATTACCCCAATCATTGAATCAATCCCTCTCATCGAGGGTCTTCCTCTCTTCCTCCACCCTCCTAAGTACTAAGGAGCAACAATGTCAGTCTGGAGATTAAGGTGCGCCTGATCCAGACCATGGTCTTTGCAATCACTTGCTATGCATCAGAAAGCTGGACAGTGACTAGGGATGATAGAAGGAGAATTGATGCCTTTGAGCTGTGGTGCTGGAGAAGAATATTGAATATACCATGGACGGCTAGAAGAATAAACAAGTTCATCCTAGAGAGGGTGAAACCAGGCTGCTCCTTGGAGGCAAGAATTCTGAAGCTTCGCCTGACATACTTTGGACATGTTGGAAGGCAGGATCAGTCCTTGGAGAGGGATGTCATGCTTGGGAGGATGGAGGGACTGGTAGCACAGCTTCCAGAATCACAGTGACTCACAAACTGCCATGTATGACAAACTGACAGATGAGAGGTAGTTGAGAAAGGAGGCTAGGGAGGAACCCAAACAGGAAAGCAGCTGGCAGGACAGCTTTTGAGAGCAGTGTGGTGAGTGAGTGAAAGGATGTAGCTTTGGGTTTGCCCGGGGATGATTACCCCATCACAGGAATATGTATGAGTCTGCATCATTGGTAAGAATAACTGGAATCTCTGGGCCTCAGTTTCCCATTTGTAAAAAAAGATATTTGTGTTACATGACATGGTTCCTTTCTCATTGTTCTAAGATTCTATGACCATTTACCTAGGTTCTCCTTTTATGGGGAGGTCAGTTCACTCCATAAACCTTATCACAACCAGTCCCAGAGGAGTCCAGCAAAGGGTGAGGGACACACAAGTGATGCTGAGAGACCCGATTCCCGGCCTGGTCCCAACTCGGAAGGTGCAGCCGTTTACACACTGGCTGTGGAGTGAAAACAGCATGGGGTGGGGGCTGTGGGGTTCCGGCAGTGGGCAGTGCAGGGTGTGACAGCAGACAGTTCACTGTTCCCTTCCTGTTTTCTCTTTGCACAGAGACCTGAGCATGAACAACCTCACGGAGCTGCAGCCTGGCCTCTTCCACCACCTGCGCTTCCTGGAGGAGCTGTGAGTAGGCGCCTGGGGGTCTGTAGAGAGTAGGTGCCTGGGGGTCCGTGGGGATTAGGGCCTGGGGGTCTGTAGGGAGTAGGGCCCGGGGGTCTGTAGGTAGTAGGGCCTGAGGATCTATAGGGAGTAGGCACCTTAGGGGTTCTGTAGGGCTGTGGTGAGGGGTCGAGGCCATGGCAGCTCTGATAGCTGACACCTGGGAGGTGATGTGGAACAAGAGAGAAAAAAGGGGACTTGAGAAGTTAAGTGTGTCCCTGAGGGGGTGAAATTGGTAGCACTCTAGGCCACTAACTGGAAAGCTGGAGTTCAAATTCACCCCAAGATAACTCAGAAGAATGGTCTGGCATCGAAAAAGGCCTAATGGTCTACTTCTGAAAAGTCGCCACTGAAAACCCAGCTCTGCCACACACGGAGTTGCCATGAGTTGGAAACGACTCCACAGCAACATGAAGGAAATTAGGACCTTTCTTGGTCTCAAGGGTCTTCAGTTGATACAAGCAGATTCAGCCAACTGGCAACTGGGGTGGAAGTCTGGGCGCCACAGGATAGAAACAAACAAGTAAATCAAAGCAACTCTGCGGGACAGAGTAGAACTTCCCATAATATTCCCAGGACTCTGGTGGGCTAATGGTAAGAAGCCACACTACAATCCCAAAGGCACTCAGTTTGAATCCACCAGCTGCCTCGGGCGAGAAGAATGAGCAAGCTCCTCCCGGGCGATTTACTACCCCTTAAAAAACCCACTGGAGGGTCAGCTATGGGTTGGTTCAGACTCGACAGCACACAACAACAAGTCTACAGAAGCAGATGGCCTCATCAAGTGGCTGGGGGGTTTGAACAACCAACCTTTAGCAGCCAAATGGTTTACCTACAGTGTCACATGGTATAGGAATTCTAAAATCTGGCTCCTTTGCAACTCCTCTTTCTGCCCATGGTCACAACACTCTTTGGGAGCTGTCTCTGGTTACCCCTCACCCCCTCGACGCAGTCACTCCTCAAGCCCAGTGGTTCTCCCTCAGGAATGTCTCCATCCTTTGTTTTCTGAGCTCACTGCTACCACCCCAGGAACCCTTCACATCTGGGATCTGCATCAGCCTCCCAGCTCCTTCCAGGCAGATCTGTGCTCCTTCAAGTGCTTCTCATCAGCTCAAGTCTCATGTCCCAAAAGATGACCTTTTTTAAAATTTTTTTTATTTTGTACTGATTTATTTACAAAATTTGAATACATTTGTTCCCCCCACAAAAGATCCCTCACATTCTAAGACGTGCCCTCACCTGGCTCACACATACTTGGCCAACTTTGTTCAGTAAGGCCCACCTTGTTCCCCAGCCTTAATATCCCCTCCTGTATTCCCTCCGCTTGGTGACCTTGTGCCCTTTCTCTCCACTGTTGTTGTTATGTGCCGTCGAGTTGTTTGCGACTCATAGCGACCCTATGTACAATAGCCCTAAACCATGCTCTATCCAGTGCCAATCTCATTGCCTCTGACACACCCATCCCGATTACCCCAGTCACTGAATCAATCCACCTCGTAGAGGGTCTTCCCCTCCTGCGCTGTCCCTCTACTCTACCCAGCTGATGTCCTTCTCCAAGGACCGGACTCTCCTCACAACATGTCCAAAGTATGTCAGACGAAGCCCCAGAATAGGCATTGATATTCCTCTATCAGTGTTACACACAAAGCCCACCTCCTCTACAAAGTCCTCTCTGATAAGTTCTGGCTCCTGGTGGGCCACAGAGATGCCTCCAGCCTTCTCCCGTGTCAGTGCTCATTTATAAATCTCCTCCATGGTTGCAATGTCCAACACACCTGCTCTGAGAAGCCAGGTCACCCTGCTCACAATCATCACTTTTCTCCCATCCCTGATCCTCACACTTCCTTAGCCCTGTTTATCTATTTATTTGTGAAGCCCAAGTCTGTTTCTAATTAAAAAAGCTCAAGAGAGTTTAAAATGTCCAAAGGATCAAAGACATTCAGGCCTAACCCAGTTTGTCGTGAGAGGCTCAGTTGCCAGTTCTCTAAACCAACGCTAAGCATATGAGTTCCTTCTACTTGGAGGAGCAGAGGACTCATCTGACTTCCAGCATGCTTCAGAAAAACACCATCCCTCCAGTGGTGAGGAAAGTAAGAACACCAAAAGCAGTCATGTCGGAGCTGTGCAGAATTTGTGTCTAGTTCAGATGCAAACTCTCCAAAGCACTTCCAAACACCGGAATTAACAATCCAGTGTTTAAACAGAGGTGGTGGCAGATTGTAGAGCATAATTGGTCTTCGGCCATTGTCTGCAACAGGGTGCACTGGTTATCTGCTTGAGCCAGGACCACCATGAGTCTTATGTGGTTGTAAAAGCAGCTTCTTAACAAATAATTGAAATTTTCAAGATTAAAATGAACTCTGTTTATTCTTATTCCATGCAACTATCAATCCTTGGGGGTCTATTAAGGTTCATTTTAACAGCAGATCAGGAATGTCTAACTCTGGTGGCCTAGTCTGTAGGGGTTCTACTGTTAACCCCAAAGTGGCACCTCTGCTGGTTCGAATCCACCAGAGGAAAGATGAGCAGTCTCTTCCTGTGCGATTCACAGCTCAGGAACCCAGTGGAAGGACAGCTGTGAGGCAGCTGGGACTCAATGACAATGCGTGTTTTTGAGAACTCTGAAAACATTCACTATTTTACCTTTACTCCACTGTGGCCTCTTGCTGTCTTGTAACAAATCGATACCCTTGACAATGTCCCTCAAGGATGCTGTTCATCTGCTCCTGCTGGCATTAGGCCATCATCCTCTCCTCAGGATCATAGCTGAGTAATTGAGACCAAGTATTTGTTGAACCTCTGGGTGAATGGTAGAATCCTCGAGTAATACAAATGATTAAAATGCTCTCCTGCTACTGAGAGATGGAAGGGTTGAGTCTACCCAGAGGCACCTTTGAAGACTAGCCTGGCAGTCTGCCTCCAGAAAAATCCACCACTGAGAGTACAGATGCGCACAGTTCTACTCTGACATGTGTGGGATTGTCATGAGTTGGAATCAACTTGTAGATTTTTGATGTGAAAGGCAAGGTCAAGGTGCTCTCTGGGACTGTATGTCTGGGAAAGCTACCTTCTTGAAGTTTCAGAACTGAGACAGAAGAACTGTGTGGGCACCAAGTCAGCAGGTGAATGAGGCTGCTGTAGGTGTAAGTACTCAGGACATTCCTTGTATGGGAACGGCCAGGGTGGTGGGGCTGGCCATTGGTACAGGAAACCCTTGGAACAGGAGTGTTCAATGCATTTTCAAAGTGGATAAAGTGAAAGATATAGAGAGGCCTTCTCATGTGGATGTGACACAGCTTGGATGGCGATGAAGAACAGGAGCAAAACTGAGGAGCTTGGAAGAAGTGACATAGCTTCCGTCTTTCAAAGTCCCTTAATTGTGTTTGTCTAAGTGGGAGGTTGGCATCTGGAAACTACCCAGCAGTGCTGTGGAAGACTTGCCTGGTGACTCGCTTCTGTAAAGATTACACCTGAGAAAAACAATCAGTCAAGTCTTGAGTTGTGGCCAGCTGATCAGCAGGTCCTATGTCGGGCAAAGTCTATCTAGTGTAATCATCTGTTAGTTTAAGTCCCTTTTGTTTAAGACTCCTTATTCTTAGTCAGAAAATAAGGAGACATATTGCACTAGGAAAGTCTGAGAAAATTAGGGACCTCTCCAAATTATTAAGAAGTAATGATGTCAGTTTGAGGACTAAGGTGCGCATGAGTCAGGCCATGGTTTTTCTGATCACTTGCTATGCATCTGAGAGCTGGACAATGAATAAGGATGACGAAAGAATTGATGCCTTTGAGCTGTTGTGTTGGAGAAGAGCACGAACATCTCATGATGACCAAGAGAACAAATATTTCTTGAGGAGGGTGCAGACAGAGTGCTCTTTGGAGACAAAGCTGATGAGGTTTCACCTCACATACATTGGCTGTGTTGCTAGGAGGCACTATTCCTTGAAAAAGGACACGATGCTAGTAAGGGTGGAGGGCCAGTGAAGGAGAGGAAGACCCTCAGCCAGGTGGATTGACAGGGTGACTGCTGCAAAGGGCTCTAGTGTGTCAGGAAGTGTGCAGACGCCACAGAATAGAACAGGGTTCAGATCCACTGTTCATAGGCTCGCTATGAGTCATAACCAACTTGATGGCACCTAACAAGAGTAACAATAACAACAATTCTTAACAATTATACAATATACTTAAAAGGGTTTTTAAAAGTTATAGGCAAAATCGAAAAACAGCCTGTGGAACTCAGTTCTACTCTTTGACACATGTGGTCACCATGAGTTAGGATCATGAATTGAGTTAGGGATTTTTGTTATTGTTGTTTTCCATTCCCTATGGACCTGTCTCCCAGCTCCTTCTAACAAACCTCCAGAACCCAAGCTTCGCCATCTCAAATATCCAGCTACTTTCCCACAGGCTGTAATTTTAAGAATGAAAAGCTCAAATGGCATTGGATTCTCGTTACAGAGGTGTTTTCTAAGGCTCGTTTCTGGAGCATGTGAGCACTCTCTCTGTGCCAGCGAGCCTCTCGGTGGGACTCGAGGCCCATAATAATTTCCTTGGGGAATTCAGACCCAGCAGTGCCTTCTGAATCATCACGGTCAAGCACTGCACAGACGGCTGTAGCATTAAGCGTATCAGTTAAGTATATTTCATGGCACCTGCTCCTTTTAAAATTGGGGATCATCCTATGACAGCTATGGAAACGCTTAGTTAAACTAGATTAGTAAACTAATTATAGCACCCTATTTCCCAACCCTCCTGTATTAGAGAGCGTTAGCTGTGCCATTGGGAGAATAGGGAGACACAAACACACCCCATCTGTACCCATCCTTTTCACTGGTGACATACTACAACCCAGGACAACCCAGCTAAGCATAGCTGTGGGTAATCCAGACTAGAAAATGACAAAGCGTAGGGAGAGGACGAGCCTTGAAATGACTCAGATCGGGGTGAGAACACTAAACTTTGCTACAGACTGACCCCATGGGAGAAGTCATTTTACCTCTCTGAGCCCCAGCTTCCTGACCTCTAAGTTGGGGTAGTAACGGATCCTTTATAGGATTATTGCCAGAGTCTCTGAGTGGTAGAAGCAATAAATGTCCTCAACTACTGAGCGAAAAGTTGAAGGTTTGAATTCACCCAGAGGCACAATGGAAGAAAAGCCTGGTAATCTACTTTGGAACAATCAGCCATTGAAAACTCTATGGAACACAGTTCTACTCTAACTCATACAGAGTCGTCCTGAGTTGGAGTTGATTCAATGGCAACAAGCTCTGGTGGAGAATGAAGTGAAATAATATCTGGAGAGCATTTCACACTGTCAACCTCCATCAGTGGTAGCTATTGCCATCTTCTCCTCACATATCCCAAGACACCGACCAATGGCAGTGCCCCTCCTTGATCTGCCTCCAATGTCACTGACACTTTGCTTCAATTTGCAGGCGTCTGTCTGGGAATCATCTCTCACACATCCCAGGACAAGCATTTGCTGGTCTCTACAGCTTGAAAATTCTGTGAGTATAGATATACACTACCCTTTATACAGAAACATAATATTAAAAATTGTGACCAAATAAAAATTTTATAACCTAGCTCTTTTTCTATTTTTTTTTTGTACTGGTTTATTTACATAGTTTGAATATATTGTTTTTCACACCAAATCTTTCCCATTTCCTTCACACCCCCCCCCATCAAATTGTGCAACCCTATAATTACACCCACCTCCCTGCCCATCCTCACCTCTCTACTTTCCCTTCCCCCCATCTCTTGGGTCCTCCTACTCATTCTACAATAATGGTTTTGTGCAGTATTTGTCTTTATGAGACTGAGTTAGTTCTTTATGAGGCTGAGTTAGACTCAGCATAATACTCTCCAGTCCCTCCCAAGTTAGGTAGTAATTTATAAAATCATTGCTCCTGCATGCTGCATAGTATTCCATTGTATGAATGTATCAGATTTTTCAATCCATTTGATTGTGGTTGGACATCTGGGCTATTTCCACGTTCTTGCGATGGTGAATAACGCTGCTATGAATATTTGTGTACAAGTCTCTGTACCTCAGTTCTCAATACTTCTTGAATTGCCTCCAGCTTACTTATACTTTCTTTATCTATAGTTTTAATTTCTATTAGTATTTCCTTATCTTTACCTTTATTTTATCTATAACAAACTTTAAGGAACTCTGAGGTATAGTGTGTAATGTATTAGACTACTAACTGAAAGGTTGATGTTTCAAATCCACCGTCTGCTCTGTGGGAATGGATGAGCTCCTCTTATATAGATTTGTAGTCTTGGGATCTCAATGGAGGGTCTCCATGAGTTGACTCAACAATAATGTGTTGGGCTTGGCTTATAACTAACTTCAGAATCTGTAAACCTGAAGCTTCGTCTGACATAATTTGGGCATGTTACAAGGAGGGACTGGTCTTTGAAGAGGGACATCATGTTTGGGAGAGTGGAGGGGCGGTGAAGGAGAGGAAGACCCTCTATGAGATGGATCGATTCTGTGATTGGAGTGGTGGGAATGAACGTGTTTGAGACGGCGAGGTTGGCGCAGGATAGAACGGCGTTTAGGGCTCTTGTACATAGGGTCGCTATGAGTCGCAAGCGACTCGATGGCACATAACAACAACAACAAACCATGTGGTGCTCCCTAGAGGCAAGAATGGTGAAACTTCATCTCACATATTCTGGGCATGTTGCGAAGGGCCGCTAGTCCTAAAAAAAAAAAAAAAAAGACACCTTGCTGAGAAAAGGCAAGAGTCAGTGAAAGAGAAGAAGACCCTCAAAGAGAGGAACTGACACAGTGAGTGTTAAACAGTGGGCTTGAGCAAGGCCAAGAGGGTGCAGGAGAGGGCAACGTTGTGATTTGTTGTTCACACGCTCGCTGTGAGTCATAGTCAATGCAGGGGCACCTGACAACAAACATATTGATGGCAATCTTATCGGGAAGTGAAGCATTTCTTCCTTCCTTTCTTTTCTTTTTTTTTTTTTTTTTTTGTAATGCGAGTAATGATCACCAGCATAGATCTTTGGGAGCTTTGCCCTGAAACCTCTCGGATCAGGAGAAGGCTGAGTTGTTTTTAGAGGAGGAATCGAGGTGGTCCACGATGGTATTCTTCTGCCACCTTCTTCTCTATGCTCGACCCTAGTCTCTCTGGCTACAGCACTTAGTTTTTCATTCTTATTGTAAATATCTCCCTCTTCTGGTTTCTGGCTTCTCCCTCGCTATCCCTTTCACCTCTCCTTTAAAGGATAAAAAGGACTTTGAGAAGGACCTTATATTGTTTCATCCAGCTTCCCTCTGCCATTGATCAATGGAAGTTTCAGAGAAGGGAAAGCTCATGCAGCATCTCTTGCCATCCCAGTTCACTCCTCCTCAACACTGTCTTCCTCAAGCCTCTCTCCTGTTCGCCTGATGAATGAGTGGAAGGTGGTGCGGACCAAGTGCACTGGGTTTGAAGTGGGTAGGAGAGACTCCTGGCGAGAGCACGTTGTCATAGCAACTGGTTTGGGAAGAAAAATGGGGCTTTTATTGCCCGAGGCAAGAAAATGAGCATTTCATTCCTTGTTCTTTATTCATAGAAGATATCCAGAAAAATTTAGCTTTAAGGTTTTTGTGGCTGTGGTTGCTGTTTAATAAACTACTGAATGAAAAAAAAATTGCATTTCAGACTTCCCTAAAGTGGCGAGCCACACACTCCAACATTACTACTCCCTCAATTCAGATTTCTGCTTGCAGGTCTTCCTTGTACAGTTGCACAGGTTGTTTACTGCACAAAAACAACGGGCTGTGTGAGTGAAAGGGGGCCTTAAATCCAGTGCTGTGCCCTACTTTTGGGTCACATCCATTCAGAAGGAGATGCTTTATTTGTTCAAAGATATTGATGGTCTAGCAGTGCCTCTGCCCCTTTGTCCATGAGCCTCAGGACCATGAGCATGCTAGCCGGCCCATAGTTGGCAGTCCGTATCTGAGTACTTCTTCCCTTTGTCATGGCATTGACCCCTTCCCACTGTCCTTCTTCCCTTTGTCACGGCATTGACCCCTTCCCTCTGTCACTGCCTCTCTTTCTGACACCTCTGGGCTCAGCTTCTCTCTCTCCAAGGGTCTCTGAGGCTCCTAGGCTGCTCTCATTCCTCACCCTTCCTTTCTCTGCTCTGTCCCTGACTCCTTTCACCAACCTCATCCCAGATTCTCCATCTCTCATTCTTTCTCCTTCTCTGTGGAAGACGCTGGCTTCCCTCTGTTCCCTGCCTCTCCGTTCTCTTTCTGCCTCTTCTCCATTTGGTCTAGCTCTCCATAAACATCACTGCCCTGGGGGGTGAGGAGGCCTCATACACCAGACGTGCAGTGCAGGCAGCCTGCTTGGTGGCGTGTCTGTGCCCAGTGGCAGGCTCAGACCTGCAGCCTGGATTAGAGCGCAGGGCTCTGTTTGCTGGGCCTTCAGAAGATGTGAGACTCACGTCCCGTTCCTAAGACTCCGGCTTAGAGATGAGCCTTCTTCTTTCTTCTTTGCCTACATTAGGCAATAAATCAAAGCCTCAGCAAAACCGCAGCCCCACCCCCAGCCCCTTTCTACAAACGGTGTGCCTGGCTCAGGGAGTCGGGTGGCGGGAAAGGCTGTGGGTGGGAGCCTTGTACAGTTAGACCGTCCCTCCCTGTTCTACCATTGACCCCCCCTTTTGCCTCACCTTGACAATCACCTAGTCCTCCTCACCCCCAAAGCTTCCACAACAGCTCTTTGCCTGCAGAGCTTCTCCACTTTAAGGGTGGGCTCAGGTGGTCCAAGGCATATATCCTTTTACTCAAGGTCGTCAAGGTAGCAGGGTCCACTTGTATGCTGGGTAGGAAGGACTTTCTGATGTCTAACGTCAGGCTCTCTTGCTGTATTGTCCTTCCATGGCTCGTTTTTCATACATGCAAAAAGAGTAGAACTCACCATCAACATCATCCCTTTTTGTGCCAGGAGCTCTTCTCCTTAGCTGCTCCCCAGTCTTCTCTGTGTCCAGAACCCTCCTCTGAACTGCAGCATCCTCAAAAGCTGGCTGCCTCTGGCCCCTTCCCGGCCTCCCCAAGAGCAGAGAGAAAAAGAGTTCTTCCCTCTCAGACCGTCTCTAATAAATGTTGGTGGCAAAGCCCTTTCCTCATCTCTAGCCACATCATCCTCACTTAGAAGCACTGTGCTTCGGATCCTCTCCTTCCTTTGCTTGTTTTCAGAGTCTGCACCCCTACAGGCCCTGGGGAGGCTGGGATCTAGTGAGTCAGTCCCAGCAGGGAATTTTCAGCTATGTGGAATAGCTTTCCTAGAGGACCTTGAAGGCTTAGATGCCCAGACTTCTGTCTCAGCATGCCACCCAGCAGCCGTCCAAAGGGATGCCGTATTCTAGTTAACTCCAAGAGCTGCCCCAGTGACCAGTTCCACCTAAGATGGCAGACAACACAAACAACAGCAACAACAGCCATACTTCCTGGTAAAGTCAAACTTGGAAGGGTGGCCGGCTGCTCCCTGAGCTCAGCGTCCTTGTGGAGCCTTGGCTTGGGATCACAACAGAGCAGGAGGTTAGTTAGTGTCTCTTAGCCCCAAACTTAGGAAAGCTCCCTGAGGCTAGCCTCTAGTTTGGTCCTCCTCAAATCACCTCAGATGGAGCTGTCTTGAGTTGACACTGTTTGTATTTGGACAGACTGTCTGTGTGACCAGGCAACCAGGCTGCCCTAGAGTTGGGGCTCTGTCTGAGGAACTGAATAGATTGGAGGAGAGACATGGGAATGAAATCCTTTGGGATTCTAGGGTCTGTCTGAGCTTCATCGGCCTTGCTCGTGGATTACTTCTGATGTCACCCTCTGAGTCACTCCTGTATGTGAGGCAGAGCCTGCCACCCATGTTCTTGCTGAGGCCTGATGACAGAAAGTGACTACCTGTCCAGAGTAGCAGGCAAACCTGAGCCTAAACTTACAACCTCAAGCCAAACCCAGGGTCATCAAGTTGATTCCAACTTATGGGGGTGTTCCACAGGTTTCTAAGACTGAATTTTTATGGGAGGAGAATGTCCATCTTTTTCACTTGGAGCAGCTGGTGGACTTGAACTGCCGATTTTCTCAGTTAGCAGCCCAATAAGTAACTCACCAGATCCCAGAAAAGGTGCTGGGCGTGGGCGACACACACGTTTTCTTTTTGGGTCTCCGTTTTCTCACCTTTTAAATGAAGGAGTTGCAATATATTTTTCAACATTTTTTGCCATTACTTGTTACACATCAGAGAGCTGGACAATGACCGAAGAAGAACTGATTGATGCCTTTGAGTTGTGGTGCTGGGGAAGAGCATTAAACGTAGCAGGGCCTGCCAAGAGGACTAACAGATATGCCTTGAGGAGCATGAAGGCAATCTGCTCCTTGGAAGCAAGGATTCTGAAGCTCAGTCTCGCATACTTTGGGCATGTTGCCAGAGGAACCAGTCCTTGGAGAGGGACATCATGCTTGGAAGGGAGGAGGGACCGCGCAGGAGAGGAAGACTCC